CAGAACGTACTATGGATTCTGCTGCTCATCATGTAGTTTTGAATAGCAAATTATGTGAACACTAAAGAAGCATTTACTCACAGACCTAATCATTGGTTTACGGATCTCACAAACAGAAGTGTTAGCAGCCACATACTTCCCTAAATTTGCAATGACCAATAGGCTTGCCATCCTCTCAACTCTAAAGCTGATGCCTGTTGTCCCTGAAATATACACATGCCCTTAAAACTTTCACAGCTTCTTTCTAAAACAAACATTAAAGAATACAATAAATGACTAGACAAAAGAAAAAAAGAAAATGATACAAGGCACTGTGGAAGGAAAATAAAGCCTCAGTAAATAAACAGGTTACAATTGTCATTAAGATTTAAAAAATCATTATTTCAATGATTATTTAAACATATAAAATTAATCATATCATTTTGAGAAATAATTTCAAGGCAAAAAAATTATATGAAAAGAAAACCCTTAAAAATAGTAAGCAAAAACAATATTAAATTCTAGATTCCCTCCCAATATACCTAGTTGGTGATTTTATCAAATTATTTATAAACATTGAAATAGTTTTTGGTTCCTATCTTGACATCAACTATTTTCCCCTTGAAAACCGTATTCTAAGTATTTGAGTCGGCCTTGTTATATGACTTGGAATATATAAGGAAGCAATTCTTGCTTACATTTAGTCAAACTTCTATTCTGGATGCTTACTGCTGATTTTGGCATTTATTTATTTATTAAATTTATATAGCTGCCCTTCTCAGGAAGACTGATTCTGGGTGATCTTATCATAGCGTAACTCTGTGCGGCTTACAATTACATTAAAAAAACAACAACTTAAAATCAAACCTTAAAATCCAAGACACATGAAGAGGGTAGGGGTAGTTTCCTATCCAGATGCAGGATTTTTCATTTCTTCCTGTTAATTTCTATCTTGTTCAATGGAACTCATTGCTCCAGGCTGTCTGGAGCTTTCTGAAATTTCTCTCATTCATCCAAAGCGTTAAATGCCCCTCCCCCAGCTTTATGACATCTGCATGACATCTGCAAACTTTTAAAAGTATCATTTCAGGTCTCTCATTCAAATAATTGATAATAAAAGTGAAATAAGAGAAGAGCAAAGTCACAGCTCTGTAGCCTTCTATTCAATGTGTAGGGGATGGGGGAGGCTTGAAGAAACCTGAAAAAGCCATATAAGTGTTGGAGGGAGTGAACCTGGGTGTCATGGATCCGATAGATGAAACTGATCAAAAGAACTTCAAGGCAAAGATTTCTTCTTCAAAGAACATTTTATTTTGGAAACAAAGTATCGGCACTTACATAGTTGAACCCAAGACTAAAAATCCCTCCTCAGGCTACAAAGTAACAAGTTGTAATTCCCACCCCAAATTGCTGTCATAAATCACATTCACCTATGACTTCAAAATGCAGGCTCTCGTCCCAGCTTTACAGCCTGCCAAAACTCTTATCAGCTTTAACCTTGATTCTCATACAGATGCATTGTTATGGCTAGCTAAGAACTTCAGCACCCCTTCTCCCCCTCAGCTATCTCTCTAAACTAAAAGTGGCAATGGATACAAAATGAAAAAATGGTTCCCGTTCAAGTGTCACAACGCTGACATTCGGTCCCCCTTAAAAGAAAAGAGAAATCCTGCAAATCAAACAAAAGCAAAAGTTAGTAATTCCCCCTCGGTTTGTTTGGATGTTTATCATAAAATTTATGTATGAGTCTATCAGCCTTTACATCAGTACACTTCACCCAGGTAGCTTCTGACAATGGATACCCTTTCCATTGAACTAACTATTGCAATTTCCCTTTATACAATCTAGCATCAAGGATATGCTTCACTTTGTAATGAGTCTCCCCAGCTACGACAAGGGGGCCAGGTGTTTTTTGGGGGGAGGGAGTCTTAGAGTAGAATCTCTGAAAGGCTTCAACAAACTACAGTGGAATACAGGCTGGATCTTTCCTAAAGATCGAGGGAGTTTTAGTTCCACAGTCACTGGGTTTAAAATCTGCACTATGGGAAAAGGTCCCAGGTATTTTGGCCCCAATTTCTTTCTAGGTTATTTGAGTCTTAAGTATTTTGTAGAAAGGTAAACCTTCTTCCCGACACAAAATGGCTTTTGAGGTGCTCTTTTCTTATCCGCTTGTTTTTTGTTAAGACTCTGAGGCTTTCTTCAAAGCTTTCTTTGCATTGTCCCACACCTCTTTCCAAGCAGACACCCATTGATTTAAAATCTGAGAGGCAGGTGGTTCCTGGGGGTATTCAGGCATCGGGATGAAATCCCTCCCTGTGGCTATTTTAAAAGGCGTAAATCCGGTACTGCTGTGTATAGTGTTGTTATAAACCACTTCAGCAAAACGGAGGAGATCAGTCCAATTTGTCTGTTGGTAATCCACATAGCATCTAAGATATTGTTCCACCATTGCGTTCGCTTTTTCAGCCACCCCATTTATAGACAGGTGAAAAGCCGATGACAGTCCTTGCGTGGAACCAATTAATTTTAAAAAGTCCCTCCAGAACCTGGCCACAAACTGCACCCCGTTGGAAATTATTCGCTTTGGCGCACCGTGTAGTCTGTAAATAGTCCTTGCAGATTGGTGACTCTGGGGAGTTATCTGAGAAATAACTTGAGGTGGAGGCATAACAGAGTCTATGACTTACTCACATTGGCTTTTGTATTGGGGCAATCTGGAGAGGGCATCAGCTAAGAAATTCTTTCCACCCGGCGAATATTTCAGGGTGAAATTAAAACAATTAAAATATTGTGCCCAGCGCACTTGTTTAGGTGACAGTTTATGGGGAGTTTTCAGTGCCTCTAAATTTTTGTGATCAGTCCATACTTCTAAAGGCACCTTGCTCCCTTCTAGGAAATGACGCCACATTAGCAAAGCTCATCTAGTAGCAAAAGCTTCTTTCTCCCAAATTGCCCACCTCCTTTCTGTGTCGGTGAATTTTTTTGAAGTGTAAGCACAAGATTGTAAAACTCCCTCACGATTCTTTTGCAGGAGTACTGCCCCCATAGCTACATCGCTAGCATCAGCTTGAATTACAAATTGCTCCTCTTGGTGAGTGTGTTTTAGAATTGGTTCAGCAGCGAATAGTCTTTTTAAATTCTCAAAAGTGGTTTTGCACTCTAACGACCAGTGCAGGGGGTGTCCTGGACATGGTTTTCCCCTATCCTTACCAGTTTTTAATAGTTCTGTTAGGGGCAAAGCGATCTCAGCAAATGAAGGAATGAACCAACGGTAAAAATTAGCAAATCCCAGGAAACTCTGGAGTTGTTCCCGCATCTTTGGGGGCTGCCATTCTATAACAGCCTTCACCTTAGCTGGATCCATTTCGATGCCTTCACTAGAAATTCTATAGCCCAAATAATCCAAACGTGTCTGATGGAATTCGTATTTAGAAAGTTTGGCATATTGCTTAACGTTCAGCAGTTTTTTTCAAAACTTCTCACACTAAACTTATTTGCTCTGTCATAGTCTCTGTATAGATTAAGATGGCATCAAGATACACCAAAACCCCTTTGTATAAATGATCGTGTAGGACCTGGTTAATCAACTGCATGAACACAGCAGGTGTCCCTGTAATCCAAAAGGCATGACCTTAAACTGATAGCTACCCAGAGAGCTGTTGAAAGCAGTTTTCCATTCATCGCCTTCTCTAATTCNAGTTAACAAGTCTTTCATTAAGGGAAGGGGGTACATATTTTCCACACTCACCCTGTTAAGGCTCTTAAAATCCAGGCAGAGCCTAAGCAACCCATCTTTTTCCTCTTTAAATAGCACGGGGCCACTACCTTGGATTTGGCAGGCTTGATGAAACCTCTGGCTAAATTCTTGTCAATATACTGCCATAATTCTTCCATCTCAAGGGGGGTCATGACATACATCTTTGGCTTTGGTAACTTGGCCCCCGGCAGAATTTCAATGGCACAGTCATTTGTTCTGTGGGGAGGCAGGACATCACATTCTGCCTCACTAAACACTTCTGCTAAGTCCCGGTATTCGCTGGGAACGAGAGGCACTCCTGGCAGGGGAAGTGTCACTATCTTTATTGGTTCAGATGGCGGGTTCGCTTCTTTGCTAATGTCATGGGAGGAGCTGGGAGGTAACGGTCCTATGGGTAACCTCAAAGTTCTCATTCCGTTCTCCCACCATATAAAGGGTTTCCACTTGTCTAACCAAGCTAGCCCTAGAATCATTGCTTCAGTCATTTTTGGGCCCACCGCGAATAGAATGAATTCCCAATGTTCACCCACTTGTAGCCACACTGGCTCCATTAGGTGGGTAATTAAGGTTCCTCCCATTAAAGATCCATCTGCCTGTTCAAATTTCATGGGGTTGGAGAGTTGCCTCACTCTGATGCCTAATTTTAGGACAATTGGAAGGCTGATTAGGCAGCGTGAACGCCCTGAGTCTACCAACACTCGCAAGTCCATTTGGGCTCCTGTCTTAGGAACTATAAACTTGGCAGATAGGGAAAAAGGTGGAACAGGCTGACTCACTATCTGGTCGTTCCCTCCCTCGTCATCATTGTCATATGAAGCAGGTGTGATGGCAGCTATATCTGGAGTCTCTATATACCAATGACTGCATCTCAAAAGATCCCTCTGTTAAAGTAATGACATTTGCTGATGACACAACAGTGATTGGTCTCATTCGAGACAATGACGAATCTGCATACAGATGGGAGGTTGAACAACTAGCCTTGTGGTGTGGCCAGAACAGTCTTGAGCTAAACACACTCAAAACTATAGAAATGATAGTAGATCTTAGGAGAAACCCTCCTATACTATCACCTCTTACAATACTAGACAACACAGTATCAACGGTAGAGAACTTCAAGTTTCTAGATTCTTTAATAACTCAAGACTTAATATGGACACCTAACATCAAAAACATCATCAAAAAAGCACAACAAAGAATGTTCTTCCAGCGCCAACTCAGACTGCCCAAGGAGCTGCTGATAAAGTTCTACAGAGGATTATCTATCTATCTATCTATCTATCTATCTATCTATCTATCTATCTATCTATCTATCTATCTATCTATCTATCTATCTATCTATCTATCTATCTATCTATCTCCAAGGCTTGTCATTACTGTATATTCACAGGTTTTTGATTGGCACACATAGGTCTTCACAAAAACTAACATATGAAGTTACAGTATCTGTGAGTTCATCCAAGTCTGCTGATTGCAAACTTTCCAATCAGTGCAGTCAAGGCACGCCTGTAGCTTTAGCTTTGCCTCCTCAGTCCAAAACTTCACTGATTTAATTGTTGGTTTTATGGTTTTAAGCTTTTGTCTATAAACAGGTACAAGGTGAATCATACAATGATCAGAGTGTCCCACAGCTGCTCGTAGTAAAGACCGATAAGCATCTTTTCATGTTGTGTAGCAGTGGTCTAAAGTATTCTTGCCTCTAGTGATCCACTTCCCACAACACTGTTCACCAGATATAATTAAAATATTGCTGAACTAAAATTCACCAAATTCCCATCCAAACATGGCATTCAGGATTGCAGATCTGATTTTTTTTTTAAGCTGTTACTTTTTAAAAATTGTCTCAACAAAGTCTGAATTTTTCTAGATGATAAAGAAGATTGGTTGAAAACACAAAACGATCGTAAAACCAACTTGGATTCCATCTGTCTGAGCAAGAATTTAAAAAATTTAAAAAGAAAACTGGATGTACACGTGGCTAGACAGCTCTTTGTCGATGAGAATTACAAACTTATCTACTGTGAGGTGCCAAAAGTAGGCTGTTCTAACTGGAAGAAAATTGTTTTGCTACTCAAGCTCAACCTGAGTAGGGATGTCTTTGAAGTAAGCCAGGGAGAGATTCATACAACAAACCTTCTAAAGCGCTTGAGTTCTTATCCATCTCAACAACAAGCAGAATTTTTGAACTCCTTCACTAAGGTGATGTTTACCAGGCATCCTCTAGAAAGACTGGTCTCCGCTTACAGAGACAAATTTTTGCATGACGAACCTTACTATAACATCACAGTGGCAAATAAGATTAAAGCCTTGTTTAGGAAGGACAAAAACCTTACAGGGCCTGTGACTTTTCAAGAGTTTGTAAACTATGTTATGACAAGGAATGACGAACCTTTGGATGTACATTGGAAACCAATGTTCCAGTTGTGTGATCCCTGCAATATTCACTATGACGTTTTGGGAAAGTATGAGACGCTGCAGGAAGATGTCAATCATACTCTCAGCAGACTGAGAGTTTCAGAGATGGTCCGATATCCAGACAGTAAATTTTATGCACAAAGGACAAACAAGAACCTCACTACCCAATATCTAAAAGAACTGGACTGGAACCAAATACAGAAACTCAGGGAACTTTATCAGATAGATTTATCTTTATTTAATTACACTTTTACTGTTAAAATGGAAGGTGACATTAAAATGGAAATGTCATTTTCAGGCTAAATCATACTTCTATTTTCTGGATACCTACCTTTGGGAGTAAGGCAAGAATTTGCTAGAAAAAAATACATGTATTTTAGAAAAAAATACATTTATTTAGGCAGCTATCTGTTTCTAAGTTGCCTCCTTAAAGATGTTTACTTGGTGTCTTCATTGACTTCATTTAGATGTCAAACATTTTATTCTGTAAATTTGATTTTACTGATAACTTGCCTTATTTTAGCCCAGGTAAACCATAATTTGCTCTTTATTTACACTTCACACTATGCTAAGCTACAAATCAAAGTGTATGGATCAGTGGTGGAGTTCAAATAATTTAACAATCAGTTTTCTCTGAAATCACAGAACCCTTTAAGAGGTGCATGGGTAAAAACCAAGCTGGGGAGGGAGGAGCTGCACCCAACACCTGCTTACTTCAGGCCCCTCCCCCCCGCATCCAGGCCACTCCGAGCTTGGTAACCTCCCCCCCACCCTCCACCCACCCCCCGCTGGTGCAATGACCCAACTGCCCATCCACCTCTTCCCTTTCACTCCCCTCCTGAATCAGACTGCCATGCTGAGGAGGATGGACCTTACCCAGTCCCCCTCCACCATTGCGGAGCCAGGGAGTGACGGCGAAAGATTTTGCTGCCACTGTGCAACAGTCGTGTCCGCTGCTGGAGGGGCTTTCTTCGGCCCCCGCCGCCCTTGTCGCCCCCGCTTCGCCCCGCAGATCACTTGCCTAGCGGCAGCAGTCTCCTCCTTTTCTGCCAACTCTCCCGTGGCTTGCGCCGTGACGGGGATGGTGGTGGTCGTGCAAGCCTCCTCTGCTGGCTCCCGGAAACGGCAGCCCTGGTATCTCTCCACATAACGGGGCTGCCGTTTCCGGAACGGAGAAGGGAGACGCCGGCCGATGCAGGGTGGCAAGAAAGTGCGGACCAGCAGAAGGAAGGAAGGAAGATTTAAGGGGAGACAGGGGGAGGCGAAGGAAGGTACATTAAGCCGCCATTCTCCGTTTCTCTCTTTCTTGGCTGGGAAGAAGGCAGCCCACACGGGCTGCTGCCTCGTGTAAGCAGGTGTGCGGTGGTGACGGAGGGCTGGCGGAGGGAGCCGGCAGGGAGGCTTGTGCCACAGGAGAGTTGGTGGAGGAGGAGGAGGAGGAGGAGGAGGAGGCTGCCACCGGGTAGGTTTAGCCTCGGCACCCACTTTAGAAAGCAAACAGAAGAGCTTTGCTCTTTTTCTCCAGGAGACCCTTTGAAATTGCTCCCCACCCCTTTGCTTTTCTGCTTTAAAATCCAGAGCAGGCACTCAGCTTCTTAGAGAAATCATACCGGTAGCTACCGTATCCTCACCTGATCAGGAGGAAAACGTGTCTGCTCTGGATTTTAAGGCAGAAAAGCGAAGGGGGGGGAGGACAATTTCAAAGGGCCTCCTGGAGAAAAAGAGCAAAACTCTTCTGTTTACCCTCCGAAGCAGGTGCCGAGGCCAACCCTGCGGGAAGCGGATCCACTCCTCCAGGGCTTTGCAGAACCATCGGGGAAGGCTCCAGCTGGCGTAGTTTAGCTTAGCCTCCTTCCGTTCGAAGCGTCCTTCCTTTCCTCCCTTCTGCAGGGAGGAAAGCAGCAGAAAACGGGGCTGCCGTTTCCAGAGCGGAGAAGGGAGACGCCGGCCGATGCAGGGCGGCAAGAAAGTGTGCGCAAGAAAGTGCCGTGGCGGTGACGGAAGGCTGGCGGAGGGAGGTGGAGGGTGGGGTGGGGGGGCTTGCGCAGGTTTGTTATAATCGGTTTGCTGAAGTCAACAAAAAAATTAGATGTCGGTTCTGTCGAACTGGTGCGAACTGGCTGAATCCCACCACTGGTCTGGATCTCTTCATTACATTAGGTAACAAGCAAATCACAGTTTAAAGAGCTGCGTGAAACGTTGACACTGAGCACTTGAAATTTGTTTCCAGTTCTCCAGAGTCTATGTATGTATGTATGTATGTATGTATGTATGTATGTATGTATGTATGTATGTATGTTCTCACATGTCTGTTATTGGTATATGAATTTTGTGCTTCTGAAAAATAAACTCACCTTGAAATGTGTCTTGGCATCTGAGTGGACTTTGCATGGAAGATGCATTTTACAAATTTGCATTGGTATTAATAGGATATGAATAAGATATGAATGTCGTATTAAATATATTTCTCTTTGCTCGTCTCTCTTTTCATCCATCACAAGTCCTTCTGAACTTCCACAAAAGAGTCTCCAACTTTCAGGGACAATTCTGAAGGACATAGCTGAAGCTACAAGTAGAAAGGATTTTATACTAGTAGTAGTCTATATAATACTAAATCTCTAGTTATCATTACCATAAACTGGGTTAAATATTGCATCATAGGGCAACAATTTCAGAACCAAAGTACCTCAAATGGGCTCACACACAGAATGTATCCAAAATCCAGGGACCCATGACTCTTATGGAAATTGAATTTGGGAAAGTTTGGGCTGCTTCAGTGCTACTGGCTGATAGGCTGTTGCTGTAGCCACATGATGCTCATTCTGAATGTTCTGTGACAGTTTCCCAGCCACTTTCCCAGTCCTTTGTTCCCTACCCAACCCAGCAGCAAGGAATTGATTCAACACTTTAAAGGCTTTTAAAGAAGCAACAATTTTAAAGTGCGTGAAGAAAGGCCTGGATATTTTTATTATTTTATGTTCCCCTTCTTTGATATACAAACATGCTCATGTATCTATATCCCATCTTTGTTCAAGAACTTAAAGCACATACCTAGTGCTCCATCCTCCTATATTTTTCATAACAGCTCTGTGAGGTTGAGTTGAAAAAATCAGGTTCACTCCGACGTTTACCTTATCTTTGACATAGAGAGATACAGTCAGTTTACGGAATCAGGAACGGATAGGACAAAGTGAAAAGTTGATGGGATGAGACTTTGACTCTTATCTACCCCTAAAGTTTGACAAGACTCCACTCTTGTCGTTATATGTTTCAACACCTTATTAATTTAATTTAATTTAATTTAATTTAATAATTAAATTAAATTAAATTAAATTAAATTAAATTAAATTAAATTATCATCAGCATAATTAAACCTTGCAGAAAGAGAGCGGGGATATCATGGTCAAGAGATGACACTAAACTTCACTGAGATGTGGCAGGGAGGAGGAGAGATAAGGAAATAGGGGATGAAAGAGCTACACAACTCCAGAATAACAACGGAAGGTACAGAACGAGGAGATAAGAAAAGGTGAAGGAGGAAAGGGAAGATTAACTCCAGAACATGTGGCAAACACTAATTATTGTGAGAATTCCTCAACGTGACAGTACCCACCTTCAGCAAGACCAAAACATCAAAAAGCAAGGTAAAATGCACAATTTATATGACATAATATATCTTTTGATGTTGGTGCTGTAGCCAAAGTCTGCCCTCATTGTCATGTCTTCCTTTTCTCTGGAGAAAATGGCCAAGTTTTGCTGTGTGGCTCCCTCGGCTAGGAAATGGAGATGAGCACTGCCCTCTTGTGTCAGACACAACTGGACAGGGAAGACCTTTACCTTTGTTGCTGCATAAGGGGAAAGATCAGATTAGGCAATTTGTAACCTCTACCCTACCCAATGAGCTCCTCAATTTATATAGCAACGGTGAACCTGTTGCAGTGGGTTCAGGACAATACAACGGCCTATTCCAAATTTATTTATTTATTTATTTATTTATTTTTTGGATTTATATCCCGCCCTTCTCCCGTAGGACTCAGGGCGGCTGACAATCTATTTAAAATACATACAAAACAATACAAAGTTAAAATTAATTAAAAGGAATATTTAAATATTTGTCGAATTTTAAAATATAATTAAAACCCCCCTAAAAATTACCCTAGGCCAGTCCTGCAAGCTGGAATAACCAAGTCTTGAGGGCGCGGCGAAAGGAAGGGAGATCAGGGATAACCCTGATCTCTGGGGGCAGTTCATTCCAGAGGGTGGGAGCTCCCACAGAGAAG